CGGCTGTCTGATATTTGGACAACAATGGAGAGTGATTTGAAAAACGCGTCACGGGCAAATTTCGTTACTCGAGAGAGAAGGAAGATAAATAACGTGATTGACACAAACCAAGGATTATAAGCGCAAAGAGAATTGCATATTATTGACAAGCGCCGATACCCTTGTGATGTCACTACAGATGCGCGCTCCACTTTTGTTATACTATTATCATTGTGTTGTGATTATTGTCGTTATTTATACATTTATGAACTGTGCTTTTTGAAGTGAAACTTCTTAGGCGGCGGTCTGATATTTTAAAGAGAATGGAGAGTGATATGAAAGACGCCTCCCGCTTTGGCAAATTTCGTTACATGAGAGAGAAGAAAAATATGATGTAGAGGGACGGAGAAAGACAGCCAATGACAATGATAGCCGAGAATGATTGACACAAACCAAGGATTATAAACTATTAATTGTCAAGCGCCGATACCCTTGTGACGTCACTACAGATGCGCGTCTCCCTTCTTCTTTACCCCGACTCATACGCCAAGTCTAAAAATTTTATCAGGGGGGGGGAATGTTTTTGAGAAGTTTCAGTTCTACCACGTGTACGACGCTACACATTCTTTTTGTTCTTATTTTTTAGGCCATACAAATTAGGTTGTTGAGGATTATTCTCATTTAAGGCTTGTTTTAGTTTAGGTAAATTATACAAAGAACTTTGTAACCGGATACAGTTGCGATTGGGCGTATTATTTTAGGTTACTGGCGCCCTTATTTTTTTTGTCGAATAGTTGAGGTTCTACTGAAGACTTGAGGTGTTTTTTCTCGCTTAAATTGGTTGAACCAGGTTGAACCTAATTCAAAACATTACATTTTCGCGTTGAACTAATGACGTCATAACAAAACTGTTTGAAAATATTTTGAAACGAGATTTCGCCTCGGTTCAAAAACAAACGCATGCGCAATAGTTTAAGAAAGTTGACAGTTTGTTGTTTATGTTTATATTTGTGTTGTGTCGTTTGTAACAGGTTATAGAATCATGAACAGAACACTCTTAAATTTTTTGAAAAATAGAAAATAGGCTATTAGGGCTGCTATGGCTATTAGGCAATTCAAACCACGTGACAATCAAGAGGGCGTGGCGGCCACACATGAGCCAAAAAACACAAAAAAATATCTAGTTTCTGCCCGATTTAATAATTCAGGTACCTAGTCAATAAATATTTAATTAAATAATCAAAATCAAAGTTGCAAACCAAACTCTATACAAAATAATTTAAAATAAGCATAAAAACATAATCAAAACAAACTTGCTTGGCCGCCACGCCATATTGAATTTTCCATTTTGACAGATGGATTGAATTGCCTAATATACCAGAAAAAAAAAATCCTAGGTTAGGTATGTATGGTTAAATTCTGGTTTGAAAACCTCATTTTTTCTCGAATGAAAGTAATGACGTAATTTTTAAATAGGTTCAAAACAAATTTCAAAAACATTTCGAACTGCTGGGGTCGAGAAAAAACACCTTTGAAGACACAGTTGACATGATCGCACGTCCACTTCCGGCTATGGCTTGCCGAGTGTTTCATATTTTCCACCTTACCTTTTCTTTACTCGTAGGGCGTAGCACATGATAAGAAATTCTGTGAAAATACACCATATACCTACCAAATATTTAAATTATTGCGAGGAAAATTATGCCTGTAATTAAAATCTGACTGAAATTGAAACTGATACAATCTTAAAATCTAGAAGGAAATTCTGATCATGAAAGTGATTCGGACTCTAATGTTTCAGATAGTAAATCGAGTGAAAGTTGGGAATGAACCTATTGAAAATCAAATATACAGGGTGGTCCTTCGGGAATGACATCGATTGCTTATGGGAAAACTGTGAAAGGTAAAAATTTGAAAATTTGGCAACATAGCAATGTCGATGGGGGACATCTAGGTAAAATATTTTCAAGATGGCGGCATTTCCGGTCATACCGGAAGTTGATACCAACTCGGTTATTTTAAATAGAACACCCCATATATTAATGTATTTTTGGATTCTACATAAAATTCTGAGCAGATTTCATGTAATATACCCTATACCTAAGTTCAACTGTTTTGGAAATATTGACAGTTGAAAATTGACTTTTTGCAACTTTGACAAGCTGTAAAACCTAATTGGTTAATTTTAGAGGAAAACCGATTTCACATTCCTATCTTAGATTTTTATAAACTATCATTTGACATCAACTTTGAATTAAATCCATGATTAAAAATTTCAGTTAAATTTAATCTCCGTTTAAGTTCAAAGTTGGTGTCAAATGATAGTTTATCAAAATCTAAGATAGGAATGTGAAATCGGTTTTCCTCTAAAATTAACCAATTAGGTTTTACAGCTTGTCAAAGTTGCAAAAAGTCAATTTTCAACTGTCAATATTTCCAAAACAGTTGAACTTAGGTATAGGGTATATTACATGAAATCTGCTCAGAATTTTATGTAGAATCCAAAAATACATTAATATATGGGGTGTTCTATTTAAAATAACCGAGTTGGTATCAACTTCCGGTATGACCGGAAATGCCGCCATCTTGAAAATATTTTACCTAGATGTCCCCCATCGACATTGCTATGTTGCCAAATTTTCAAATTTTTACCTTTCACAGTTTTCCCATAAGCAATCGATGTCATTCCCGGAGGACCACCCGGTATAGATCAGATTACGTGATAGGAGATCTTTAAAACCACCTACAAATAGTATATTGTTGTATTAGGAGTAGAAGCTTTACTTTTTTGTGCTGAAGCAGTAGGTTTGCGAGCCGAACGTAGTGAGGCTTGCAATACTGCTGAAGCATAAAAAAGTGCTTCTACTCCGTATGCAACATGCTATTTTTTCTCCAAACGATTGGGGTAAGCTCGGGGGCAACTGAATGGTTAAGCGGTAGTAAAAGTACGAGCGGCACTAAAAGTACTTTTGCTGCCGCTCCAGCGGCACTAAAAGTACTTCTACTGCCGCTGCGGTTGCCTAGCAGCATAGAAATTAAATTTCTACCACCTCGACAGGTGTTATCCCGCTGGATCTGCCTACCAGCATAGAAATTAAATTTTTAACATCTTGACAAGTGCTGACAAAGTGACGTTTTTTTGACGTTTGGAGAAAAAGGTGCTTCTACTCCGTATGCAACACGCTATTTTTCTCCAAACGAATGGGGTAAGCTCGGGGCCAAGTGAATGGTTCAGCGGCAGTAAAAGTACGAGCGGCACTAAAAGGCCGCTCCAGCGGCACTAAAAGTACTTTTGCTGCCGCTAGGGTTGCCAAGCAGCATAGAAATTGAATTTCCATCACCTCGACAGGTGTTAACCCGCTGGATTTGCCTAGCATCATAGAAATCAAATTTCTGACATCTTGACAGGGGTTAACAAAGTGACATTTGTCTGACGTTTGGAGAACAACTATATTATGGATTGTTTTGACAACCATAATTATCCATATACGATACGGCTATGACTGGAGAAGTTGAGGATATTTGTGTTTCAGATGCAAAAATAATTACCATATTGATAAAAATGAATACATGGGACTTGACTTGATACTGAACTATGAAAGAATGTAAAGTCCTTAACCTGTCGCTGGATTCTACATCAAAAACAACATGGCAAATTTAGGGCCAGATTTGTAACTAGAGATTTTGAACAAATAGGAATAAATGATTATTCGTAAACATCTAGTCCTGTAGCATGTCATGTGTCAGTTAAATTAATTCTTAGTCTTGCAGCTTCAAACAAAATGAGATTAATGACTCTCGATGTAAAGACAGCTTTCTTACATGGAGATTTGAAGGAGGATATTTTTATATGATTCTGGAGGATTTTATCACAAGACTGCTGAATATGTTTATAATTATTGAATAGAAGGAATGATAAATTTCAACATTTTTGAAGACACTCTGATTTACTAATACTGATGATGATTCTTGTGTATATTATAATAATAAGAAAAGCATGATTTTTAGTTTAATGGTGGATGATGGACTTGTTGCAGAAACTATTGAAAATGATATGATTAAAATCTTGAATAAACTAAAGCAGAAATTTGAAATAACTTATTATAGATAAATCTATTGAAATTGTCCTATCTTGGAATAGAAATAAATAATACCTTATTCAAGTGGAATAGTGGAATATTTATGTGTCAATCAGTATTTACTTAGAAGCTTTTTGTCTTTGTAATAATAATTTCCTCTATGTGTGTCTTGTCTGATTATTATAAACAATGGACTGATTTATTATCAAGGAACTTTATTTCGTCCTGCAAACACGCAATTATCGTATGTATTTACATTTATGATAATGTGGGTATTGAAGTCTCTCCTCGACAAACTGCAAATTTCAGAATAATTAAAACATTCTTTACATTTTTCTAAAGTAGAAGTATCAGGCTTTCTGACGATGAAAAAATATACCATATGTTTCATTTGAAAGAAGGCGTTTCTCTTACTTACGAAACACCTCCACACAATTTAATGGTACCTACTTGCATCAGATCCAAGGAATTCTAAACCATTTCAGTATACCCTGGCATTAACGATTTAAATCCAAAGTATTTACGGTAATTGCGGTTCTTTGATGAGGAAACTTTGAGAGATCGCACACATCGATTTCGAACTTTTCGTTAAGTTCTCCACTAAGATGATGTATGACACGCGGGCAAAAGGGTATTAAATGGCATATTTAAATCTTGGCAAATCTTTGCAATAATTCAAATGGGTTACGTTTGATCTAAATTTGTGCCCGGCTACCGGAACTAAATAGTCCTGGCGACAGAATTACGGTGGATTGAAGTTAAGGTAGGTACCTGTACTTGTTAATAGTAGCAATGCTTCTTTTATACATTCTGGAAGACTGACTATTATTTATATTATGAAAGTCGGAGAAAATCGATTGTTGGCTCTAATAAGTACCTACCTAATTTATTTTTCGAATCTAAATACTAAATAAATCTACCTATATATGTTATACTTCTTACCTTTATATTCGTCACTGCAATATTATTATTAGTGTCAACCGAAAGTACTTGTTGGCTTCCAGACAGTTTCTCCCTAAAAAAAAATGAAAACAAACTTATTTTCCAAAACAAACAAAACCTAAAAAGTCTCGGTGTCAATGTACTCATTAATGTTTGTTTCCTTTATTTTTCAACATTATCTTTGGCCCGATGGATGCAAAACATTATCCTGGAAAAAAACCAATAAATCATCTCTCTCCTAGACCGACATTTCGAAAATACAACATCCATTGATCTGCTCTGTCTATTTCATCAGCTTTGGCTGTCATTAATTCGGCCGTTTGGCAATTAGAACGGTGTCAAATAAAAGCTTGAAGCTAATTAAAGTTTTGAACCGTTTCTACACCCGTACTTACTGTGCGATTTGATTGGTTTATTAAAGGATGTTATCTGTAAACATTTCCGATATTTATAGACTTTGTGGGGTTAAATTGGAAAGGAATACTTTGCAAATTGTGAAGTTATTGAATTTGTGCCTAATTTCGAACGTGATGGTACCGAACTGCAGTTCCGTGTACATGTACCACGCAAAAGTCGTCTCTTACAGTTCTGAAAAGCCCGGGAAACATGGGAAATACTTTTTTTCTGACAGATTTGGAACCCATTAATTTAGATAGCGAACAGATTTTTTTTGTTTTTTTAAATTTATTAGTTAACATTCTGGAAAGAAGTTTGAACAACAACGATCGATATTCTGGACACTAAATTTAATTTTCTATAAATTAACTCGCTATGTAGTTTCCTTGTTCAGGTTAGTAACTCCTAACTTGAAATTCATAATAATAACCGGTATGTGCCGCACATTCCAGCATCATACACCTCTATATTTATGAAAGCATCCGCTTTGAAATATTTCCTTTCTTCTATTTTCCTTTCCCATTTTCCACATCCGCTCGTTCGCGGTCTAAGAATAAGAGTTGTTTATGTCCCGCCAACAAAACGCCATTTCAAACGGACGCAATATGTCGCAGCCAATACATTATAAAGGGGGCTTGGGCTGATGTCCTCCTGAATTCAATTAGACTCGTATTGATTTATCTCTTTCCTAATTAAAAAGAGAGATAATTAATTGGTTTTTCGGCTCCAACTTACTTTTGGCATTATAACTTTATGGGGAATAGATAATCATCGCCAAATATGACTAGACCTATTGTTCTTATTGGTGTCTATTATTCTGAATGAATTGCGGTTGATCTAGAAATCTTGAATTATTTGAAAAGTTATATGTTGTAGATATCTTCTAAATTTAGAGTCGACCGACTATTTTTTGAAACTAGTCACTACACGCTCTGGCAATAAAACAATTGTCATTAAAACCAAACCTATATTATTTTTTTTACGAAATTGCCTCGGGTAAGTAAGGCGCTAGGTTTTTCTAGATAAATCCCGAATATATACACTGTTTGCTATAAATAATGCGTTGTAGAAGCTTAACTAGTCAGTTTTAATTCAATATTTGTCGTGAATGTTCCAATAAATTATAAGTGAATTTTATGTAAAGTCAATTAGTTCATAAAAGTTGTGACTGTTTGTGAAGTGAGTTTTACTGAACCCGGAATCAATTGGTACACTAATTCAAGCTAATTAGTATGATTATTTAGCAAGTTAATTAATGGTGTATTAATTTGAGCTGGACAGTGAAATAATTGGTAAGATAACCACTGGACTAGAGGGTTCTTGCATGGAAAATTAAATCGATTATTGTTTATTGCAAACTGTAGAAAATCGAAAAAAAATCGTTACTTTTTTTTTATTTCGCCCAAATATGATTATTCCGGAAGTTATACAAATATTAAGTTTTGTATAAACAGGGTGACATTTTAAAAACTTACAATGGCTATATCTCAGGAACCAAAAAAAAAATAAAAAATTGCTGAAAGCAATTTCTATAGTAGGGAGGGGGAAACAAAATTCTGTAATAACTAACTTGTTTTCACTCACCCCCTCACCCCCAGCTACCCCAACTTAGTAATCTTAAATGACACTCCTCTACTTGTGATACCTTATCTGAAAGCTCTTAAAAAATGCTTTTCAATGGTACCCTACAAGCTAGGATTCGATGTAATTATTTTCAAAATAAAACCATTGAAATGTAAATTGAATTTTTGACTAATACATAATTTAATAAAAATTTAAAAACATTTTTTTGCTATCGTAGCATTAATCTTGAAGCTTAAAAATTTTAGGCTTGTATTATTTTTTGTTTATTCGTTGTTTTGGGAACCTGAAAAAATTGTCTAAATTTGGGAGTCTAAAAAAATTTAATTTTAATTCAAATGAATGAAGTTTTATTTATCCAATAAACCAAAAACAATCACATCGAATCCTAGCTTGTAGGGTACCATTGAAAAGCATTTTTTAAGAGCTTTCAGATAAGGTATCACAAGTAGGGGGGTGTCATTTAAGATTACTAAGTTGGGGTAGCTGGAGGTGAGGGGATGAGTGAAAACAAGTTAGTTATTACATAATTTTGTTTCCCCCTCCCTACTATAGAAATTGTTTTCAGCGATTTTTTATATTTTTTTTTGGTTCCTGAGATATAGTCATTGTAAGTTTTTAAAATGTCACCCTGTATAGATATACTGAGCATGGTGTGATGTCATATAGGATATGAAAAATAAGCACATTTCAAAGCGTTGTATCTCCGTCAATTTTTGTCTAACAAGAAAAAGAAAAAACACATTTTGACTTATTTTTCATGGACTATCGATATCCGCAATAAAAAAATTTGATGCAAGGGGCCTATTGGTGTATTGATTGGAGCTAATTAGTGCAAACAATCAATGGATTTCCTGGAATATTCTTCAAACTTCTATCGAATTTTATTTGAAAACCGTAAGTGACAAAATCAGTGACTTTATTACTGGCTTCAAAATCGAAAAACAAGCTCACTAGCGGACTTTCTGGAAAATTCTACAAACGAAAGATTAAAAACAAGTCCACAAAGTGATTTTTCAAGAACATTCCATTGTGTTCCATTTGAAAAAATCAACTTTTAAGAGAGATCCAGAATACTCTATGGTAAATACCTACACGACAGCAAACAGCCGAAATGAAGCAAGTCAATCAAATGTTAGCGAACTTCATAAAGAATTTAGACGACAAAAGACTAGAAGAAGAAGCCCAAAAACAGGCAGAAAAACAATAAGAAGAAGACCAAAGGCAAAAAGAACAGAACCGGTTTGTAGCACTTTTACAACAGCAAGAAGACCAGAAACAGGAAAAAAAGAAGAGGAAGACTGAAGACAAAAAGAACAGGTAAATACAAAAACCTGGAATTATCAAAATGGATCTCAGCTTCGTCGATGGATCCAAAAATCTAATCTGAAAAGTAATCCATTCAAAATTAAATTAGAGTAAAAAACAGTTACAGTATTTTGCATGCAGGATGTTAGTCAGGATTTTTAGATAAACTTTTTTTTAGACTCTCAAAATAATGACTATAATGAGACTATCACGCACTGGGTTCGGCTATTCAGCACGGAGTTGGAGTGGAGTAAGAACAGATTTTTTGTCACGTGATCTAGTAGTGATTAGAGTGAAAAATTAATACACGAACGACCGGAACGGTCGGAGCAAAAATGTCAAACAGCTTTATTGTTTTTTTTTCTACTTTTGTCTTTGGTTTTTCGTTTATTATAAATTAACTACAATTCCTCCACAATAATAAATAATATGATGCTTTTGCCTCTGTTTAACTTTGTCAGGGAAATTTTTCCAACATGTTTAATACAATGTTAAAATCAGATCAATTATTTTACTCGACGATTTTACCAATTCCCGCATCCACACATAAACGATTTTTAATTTTTTTAACAACAACCACACTGTGATAACACAACAAGTTTGACAGTTTCCACATTTCACTTCTGCGCATGCTTACTTTAAAAAATTCTCTTTCCGAGGTGGAAAGTTTGGAGTGAACTCCATTTACCCCACTCCGTATAGTCGAACGCTAATGGAGTCACCCCTAACACGCCAAAAAGCAATACCCGAACGGCTGGAGTGTTAATAAAGTCACTCGGAGTGCACAATGTTATGAGCACAGATTATGAGCGTGGACTTATTTCAAAAATAGGTTGCTAATCAACTTATTCCTATTTACATTGTGTGAGTTTGAAGAGAAATGCGTGGTAGAACTGGTAGATATGGATACCGCTCCATACCATTCAGAGCTGGTAAATAAAATACACACATTTTCTCCAAAAAAAGACAAAATGCAGGAATGGTTGACTAAACTACTAAACATGAAATGACATCCGACAATTATAGACATGACATCATAGAACGTGCAATCTTATGTCATCCAAAACCTATCAAAGGTTACGTAAATCCTCTGGGAGCTGGATGTGCTCTAAATGCGTAAGAAGCGGAAATACGGTACCCCAAAAACACAAAAAAAAAAAACAAAATCCTTCATATACCATCGATGATGTGATGAAAAAATTGTTAACATTGAAAAATCAGTTAATTGAAACACCGAAAAAATATGATTTAAACGCCCAAACATTTGGATTTAGGGTTGATTGCAGGATATTCTTAAATCACGATTTAACCAAAAATAACCAGAATTATACAAAAAATCACTTGAATTTAAAAAAAAGCCACTACAGCAAATACTTATGTGTTAATAATGGTAACATTTTACTTATAAAAAAGGAGGATAGTGTGGGTCGGCCAGGTACGATATTATGGGAGCCATAGACCTTACGGCTTCGGGATTTTTTTTTTCTTCACTAAATCGGCCAAGAGAAATTGATGGAAATTATTTTCAAGTTTCTAGGATAACCGCTAGGGGGAGCAATTACGATGATATAGCTAAAAATTCAACTTTTCTCAAGAAATCGCTATATTAAGATACTGTTTTAACAACAGAAATCAAAAGTTCATTAATTTTTGCGCCAGTTTGGTTATTAGGGTTTTTTTCGTATCTTCAGTAATAAGGGTGGGGGAAGCTGGTGAAAATTTTTTTTTAGAAATTGCTGTATCTTCCATACCCCTCATTCAAACTCATTCAATTTGGGTTTATTTGGA